AACTCAAATATGAATTTAGCTGCATCTATTTTTATTTCTTTGATAATTGACAGTTGGACGACTATTATACTTAACCATTTGAATTAATATGAATATTAATGATTTATGCCCATTTCTTTCCATTTATTCTAGTATAATACTCCTCTGAAATTCCACCTATTATGACGGAAACTATGCCAGCATATTAGCTGCATTCCTAACATGTATAGTGTACAGCCACTTCCTGTCAGCAATGAAGTAAGGATGTGATGACTACCAGTCTAATGGTTTGAAATTTGTGACTGATATAAACTGACCAAGATAATGCAACTCATTCTCATGACCATGACAAATGTTAGACAAATAGAAAAGTTAGCACCCTAAACAAATTTTAAAAATGTTTCAATAAATAAAGACTGTGAATGTCCTGGCATCAAATACCGTATAGCGGAAAATTTTCATGGCCCAAAATTTTCGTGGATTTCGCGTTTTTTTCAAAATCCACGAAAATAAAATCCGCGAAAATCAATTTCATACGGTTTAAGATGGCCGAATTGTAGAAAATCACGAAAATTAAACCCACGAAATTGATTTTTGGACGGATCCACGAAAATTTTGGGCCACGAAAATTTTCCGCTATACGGTATGCAATAAAAATTGGGTTCAACTTTGTATTAGCACTTTTACAATTAGTAGCTAAAAAAACAAGTTACATGTACATGTAAATGTACATGTGCATGTACAATAATTGTAGGTTACTTAATATTTCTTCCCATTAACTGACACTCTCTCCTAGTTTACCTGATACATCTCAGTCAAAAATTTTTGTTTGAGTTTCTTCTTGAGTCTCCTTAAGTTTTTATTTTTATTTTCATCATGTCAAGGTGTGTCAGTACTCCCATCATGCGAGGGAACCCGTGGGTCTGTAGAATATTTAAGAACTCAAATGTCTCCATCTCAAAACCAAAACCAGCTAGCATCAACAACTGAGCAGCAATACCAGTCCTGTCAAAGACAGAAATAAGAGCTACTATTAAAATTGAAAATTGAACATCAATAATGGCAAAATAAAGTTAATTGATTACTTAATGATAAAGATAATATCATTTTTTCCTTTAATAGTTACAGACACAGTATAAGTAATGCATAAAAGACAAATACCAAAATGTACATGTACATCTGGTTAATGTACTGGGATTACACTTACATTATTGTGATTACTTAGAAGGTCTACAACTTTTGCTATGTCAATCATTGTATTGATGTCATTATTGCACTCAATAAATGTGATCCGTCTCTTTTTACCTGAGGAAAGAGGAAGAGAGATTCAAAATAATTCTAGCCATTCAATCTTATGATTCAAACTAACAATATGGCATGATTTTATCACACAACAATTTTATATTATACTTTTAATTATGTGTACCATAACTGATTTACTCGGCTTAATTATGTGTACTATTAGTTGCTGTTTTTTTTTCAAATAAAAAAACACAATTATTATTACATGAATTAAGGCCCAATTATTGGTACATGTACATAGCTTAAAATATCTATCAAGAGATACAAAACGGTAGAATTCCATTTCAGTGTTCACACTAGTCAAAGTTGTTAAAAATATTTAAATTAACACAACACTTGGTACATCCCCCACATAATCGCCCAAGTCTACCTGACACTAGAGTGACTGGTCCCTGGACACAGTGTGGTGAGTGAAGTGCTTCACTAGTCCATTAATTAGTGTCGTCTTCCCAGCTTTAGGTGGTCCTACAGCTATTAGTACTGGGGGTGGTTCAATTTGAGTCCTGTCCACCTGGGGGAGACGGTTTCTCTCAGTTTTCATTGATGTCTAGTGTCCTCCTTTTTGATCTGGCTGCTCTGATGGCGCTACAATAAGTGAAAGCCTTGGGGCTTCTTTGATCCTCTGCCTCCTCGTTTTCCTTCCCCACTCTATGATCCATCATGAACCACGTGGACGGTAGGGGGAGCCAGTTTGATCTAAACTCTAATGGGTTAATCATAAAATTCCTACACTACAAATAAATGATGTTTTCTATGCACTTGGGGTATTTCCATTTCCTCTGTTGGATTAACCAGTAACAATGCTGTTGCTTTTACTGCTTTTCTCTCTTCTTTTTGCTGGTGGTAGCTCAGACACTGCTGCCTTGAAGTTTGATCTCAGTACAAATGCAGACTGTGTTGTAGGAGATCCAGTTGTAACTCTATGGGTAGAAACACTTGGAGGAGACATCAACTATTTAATGATCTACAACAGTATGTTAGTAAATTATAACTACTGGTATGATTTAGTGTTATATTTCATAGCTTCTAAACCAGGTGTAGATA